GAAATCAAAGAAAAACATCCCACGAAAATGTTTGCGATTTTAGAACAATTAGTGTATATTTGTAAACTACTGCAAACAATGGAGTGTCATATCTTAAAAGGTTCAGAGAATTAACGAAACAAAGAAACATTTTATGGTCTTTTATTTCCTTCACACCGCATTGCTATTTTTTCTAACTTTTCCTTTAGTTTAGCGCTGAAACCTATTAAGTTATATCTTTTAATTTATACATGTGAACTGTTTTCAATGAGCATTTTTTCATTTGCTCCAGAATTTTGGGTACATTTTCTTATAGTACCTCTCATTATTTTTTTATATTACATATACTGTAAATTTTGCTTAGCTGCACATCCCTCTTTGCACGAAAAACTTGTGCACCTAACCGAAAAAGGCACTTAAACGAATTTTTTTTTACTACTTCAATGAGGAAGGTATCCGAATCCCTATGAAACCAAATAATGGAGAAGCACTTATCACGTAGAAAATAATGCAAGCGAAATTTTTTTCGAATGGTATCTTATTATCTATATAACTAGACAAATTGATAGCCATTTCCGTTGTTCTGCGATATGAGTAAAATAAATAAAAGTTTGTAAAATTAGGTAATTGTGGGCCAGTGCAGGTAAACGTAATACTTTCTTTGATAATTGATACTATTTGCACAATTTTTAAGGCAGCTATCGCCAATGTGCAGGTATGTTGAATGCATCTATCGGAGCAGTTTCCTTATAAATGTTAAAAATAATGTCTCAGAGGCGCATTTTGGGGTAGGTATCTTAAATGTGCACTTAAGCATAAAGGCAGCAAAGCAAAATATACTGTATACACTCCGAAGTTCGGGATAGTATTTTGAATATACCAGCAATATATGTAAAAGTAGTGGCGGCTGCTGTAGGGAATTACGCAGAGCCTGAGTTCAAGCCCAGTTTTTTCTAATAGTGGTTGCCCCTCTGTTGGTAATAGTAAACCTCCGAGTGTATTCTGTCATGAAACAACTTCTCATTAAAATACAATTGCCGTTCGGAGTCGGCGTAAAACTGTCCTTTACTTTGTGTGACAAAATCACGCACGCCGCATATCGGAGGAGAAGCTAGGCCAAACACTAACATATTGTTCAAGCTCCAATATGTATATCGTCGTTTAAAGTACAAAAGCGCGTATCGTGGTTCTGCAAAACGTCGGAACTGAAATTTGTGCCAAAAAAGATATTTGGTCATCGGAAGCTCCTGACATCAAGCCCTTAGCCATTTATAATAAAATATCGATACTTAGACATAATGAGAGAAGATTATTAAGTTTAAAAAAGAGAACCGTTTTTAATTAGGACAAGTTTCACTCTCTCCTATAAAATTTAGGCAACCTCACATACGAGGTTTTGCATTTCCTTGATGCGCGGTTTTGTACTTTAAACGAAGAAATGTAGAAGTACTGCATACATATTTTGGTGCCTTTTCAAGTATAAAATCCACTGAGAAACGGCATCCCTAGGATTTCAACTTATGCCAAACGTTTCGTAAACAAGCAATTCTGAACAAAAAAACTGTTTTTCCACAAAGATGTTTAAATGGGAGCATTACAAATATGGCAAAATAGCAATCCACAAGGCTTTATTGGCAGTAGGTCCTTTTTAAAGCACATTTAACAAAAAAATAAGCTTCTAGTTTCGAAGCAAGCACAAAATACAAGTTTTTTATTTGTTGTTTACAAAAAAAATATTGTCAAGTATACAAGTCAAAATTGTTAAATATATATCGCTTTCATTCATTTCTTCATAGAGTTGGTGCTTCTTAACTTAACAACAACAACAAAAAAATATTAGAATAGAACAGAAATAGTGGAGAGAGATAAAGAAAATTTTAATGCCCTTACACAATGCTATCAGTCATTTTTAAAATAATTGTAGATTTGTGTCCTGTAGTTGAATCTGTTTAACCCACTCTTTACGGTCTCAGGTAATGAATTCCAGACTCTTACTGCGTTAATGAAAAATAGTCTTGATGATGCTAGGTAAGTAAATTTTGGAACAATAAAACTGTTGTGTCTCTGTGACCTTACTGGTATCAGCTTCTCAAAGAGATAGGCAGGTATTTTAAATACAGTAAGTTTGTAAATAAATATACAATTCCTAGCGGCCAAATAGTTCTCAAGACTACAACCCAGGATATTTGTTCGACAGGCAGAAATGTGCTTATATCTACCAATTCCATATACATAACGTGTAGCATTGTTGAATGCTACATTGAGTTTATGGCAAGATATTGAGTCCAGTTTGCTGTATACTACCTCAGAGTAGGTGATGATTGGCATAATTAGTTGGAGAACTAATTTACGCCTGGTTTCCAGTGGCGTAAATGTTGCAGAAACTCTCAGCTTACGCAGTATCGCATACACGCTGCTCACAACCTTATTTATGTGGTCAGTACATGTAAGTTTAGAGTTAAGAATAAAACCTAAATTTCTTATCTTATCCGTAAAACTAAACGGACTGGTACATATCCACAGTTTTGGAATACAATCGACATACACCACACTATTACATACAGGCAATACATACGACTTTGACTCATTTAAACATAGAGAATTTCCAGCAGCCCAAACAGAAATAGCAGACAAGTCACTGTTTATTTTGAAACATAAATCCTCAACGAGACCAATACGACTGGACAGGTACAATTGTATGTCATCAGCATACGCATGGATATTCACATATTGACAAACAGGAAAGACATCATTGACAAAGAGACTGAATAACAGTGGACCGAGGACAGAACCTTGTGGAACACCAGCATACACAAATCTAGGCCGGGATATTAGTTTGTTTGACTTAACCTTCTGCGTTCTACCCTCCAGATAGCTAACCATAAGTTTCACCGCACTGTCTTTGAAGCCGAAATAATGTTTGAGCTTCAGACACAACAATTTGTGATTCACTGAGTCAAACGCCTTTGAGAAGTTGAGTAAGCAAAGAAGTGTCAGGTCGCCATTGTCAAAGTTAATTCTAATATCATCCAGTATTTTGACCACTGCCGTCGAACAACTGTGTTTTTGTCGGAAGCCAGATTGTAGTGGAGAAAGCAGACTATTTTCTTGCACAAATGCAGAAATTTGCGCAGCCATTAAGTTTTCACAAGCCTTCGAAAAGACAGGCAGTATGCTGACAGGTCTATAGTCGCCAGCATAAGTAGCATTCGTCTTCTTCGGAACTGGCAAAATTATAGCTTTTTTCCAAACTGCTGGAAAGCATGAGCTGGTAAAACAATGGTTTATTATATGAGTCAGAGGGCCTATTATAAAATCAATTACTATTTTGACGAATCTCAGCGAGATTTCATCTTCCCCTATAGCGTTAGACTTAATTTTTGACAGGGCCATCAGGACCTCAACTTCGCTAACTGCCATTAATTGAAACTCGTGTTTTGGACTAGCACAAGACATGATATCCTTCAATACGGGAGCACAAGGGTTTTTGTTGTTGGCACTGATAAAATATTCGTTCAGCTCATCGACGTCAATTTCACACTCGGGTCTTTCTTTGCCATGTATTTTAAGATTTTTTAGATTGCGCCACAGTTCCTTCGAGGGGAGTGACGGATTTAGTCTTGAATAGCTGTACCAACGTTTTGCTTGTCTTATTATAGCAGTAGTTTCATTTCGAATTTCCTTGTAACGATTCCAAGAAGTGTCCGTTCGATTTTTTCTCCACTTAGCATAAGACTTATTGCGTTTCCTGATGGCAGAACGAACTTTGGAATTGTACCAAGGACACGAACTATTTACAATATTTACAGAACACAGTGGAACATGCACATTAAACAACATGGACAAGTTATTGTTGAGGAAGTCAAGTTTATCATTAACAGTGGGAAGAAACCAACATTCATTCCAATAAATATTGCTCAGGTCTGAAAACAAAGAATCTACATTCAACGACTTGAAATCACGATACACAAAGGTAGCACCTAAACCTGGACGATTCATCACAACATCTAGAGAACAAAATATTAAATCATGGTCGGAAATAAAATCTACTTGGTCAAATTTAAGAATATGCGAGAGGTTGCAGGTAATAAAATAATCAAGGAGACTAGGTGGGGAGTTATTTGCATACCTCGTTGGCATAGTTTCGTTAACAACACAAAGCCCTGCTGTTGCCAACTGGTCCAATAATTTACTACTACTGGGATCGTTTACTAATATATTTACATTAAAATCACCACAGATAAGAATACGCTCATAATCTAACTCAAATTCAGACAGGTCAAAAAATAATGTATCTAGAGCTATACCCTTATTAGGATTATAAACACATGCGAGTAAGACTTTATTCACGCCATCAGATACTTCAGTAATTATGTATTCAGTTTCGCAGTTGTTTGATTTTACTAACAGTATGAGTTTCAGACTTTTGTTACAGTACACTGCAACTCCCCCCCCCTTTTTTAAGTCTACGATCATGCCTCAATAAATTGTAGCCGTTTAAAGACAGGTTGAAATCAGGAAGGTCACTATGGAACCAAGTCTCAGAAACACAAATTACATCCACTGCAGACTCTTCAAAGACGTACCTAGCTAAGTCAAATTTATCACGGCTTAGACTACGTGCATTAAAATGCACGACATTAAAACCATCATTTTGTTTACATAAAATATCAATAATACATTTCTTATTTTCATTAACGCAAGGGCCTGACTTATCGAGCAGACCTACAATCGCAAATCCGGGCTAGAACAGAAACAACCAAAAACAAACAAACGAAGCATGTATACATATTTGCATAAGTGCAAGACAATAGTTGCGTTTTTTTACTCATTTCCAGTAAAATCCAGTAAAAGTTGTTACGAATTTTCTTGTTTTGGCGTTTTCGTACGCAAAAACTTGCAAAGTAGGGGAAATTGAGAGAGCGAAAAATGACAGCTGAAGTTGCAAGTTTTTACTGGATTTTACTGGATAAATTTTTACTTGTAAGAATTTGCCAGTACGAAAAACAGCTGATTGCTACTATTCGCTTTAAAAGAATTCTAAACGTATTTATTTTGTAACGTAAATATTTTGATTAAGTTAAGTCAAAAATAGAAAAAGTGAATAAATAATCGCAAAACAAAGGTATATTAAGCTAATTACTGCAGTATACTAACTAAAAAGTGGGCGCATGCGAAAGCAGAACTATGGAGCTCTTACCTTCAGGCGCAGTGGCGGAAGATGGCGTTAATCAGGGCGAAATTTTAAACATCACAGGTATTTTAGTGTTTTATGTGTGCATTTTTATGTTCATAGTAATTTTTATGTTTACGTAAGTTGGTGGCGTTGGCGCGAACGAAAAGAAGAAGTTAATTGTCACTGCAATTTCGATGCTGATGCAGTCGTCTTCATCGGAAAGCGATGATGAAGAAGAACGTATTATTATTGAAAAATTAAGATCCGACGATATTTTGGTGCTTCTAAAACAAAGAAGTCGGCGAAATTCTGTGCAGAACTTCTTAGAGTTGACTGTGCCGACTTACACTGAGGAAGAGTTCCGCACTCATTTCCGGATTTCCATAAATTTATTTGAAAGCCTTGCTCACCGATTCTCTCTTTCGGAACTTTATCAAAATCTAAGAGCAGACAAAAGGTTGTCACCAAGAACTCACTTGCTTGTTTTTCTGTGGTTTGCTGGCCACGAAGCATGCAGTTATAGGGATTTGGGTGACCGGTTTAATTTATGTCTGTCATCTGTATGTCATGTTATTAACAGAGTAACAAAGTTCATCAGCTCATTGAGTCCAGATGTGATTAAATGGCCTACTGCAGAACAAAAAGGAGAATCAAGCAATTTTTTTAATCGCAAATGCTATTTTTCTAAAGCAATTGGTAAATCACTGATTTCGTTTTATGATTTATTATATTTATTTATATTATCCAAATATTATTTAAGGATGCATTGACGGAACGCATATTCGGATAGATCCGCCAAAAAGATCAAAGGATGACTACATCAATAGGAAGGGGATTATGTCGATTTGTTTGCAAGCGGTATGCAACGAAAAGAGAAAATTTATTAACATTTTCGTTGGATACCCTGGTTCCAGTCACGACAGTTGGGTCTTCCAAAATTCGACACTTTATGATAACTTGCCTTCTTATTGTGGAGGTAATATTCATGTAAACGTGCGAAAAATTAATTAAACTTAAAAAAATATGTTTATTTCAGATTATTACCTTTTGGGCGATTCAGCATATCCCTGTAACAAATATGTGATAACGCCATATAGAGATAATGGGCATTTAACAAATGCTCAAAAGTATTTTAATATAAAACTAAGCTCTGGGCGCATCGCCATTGAACACTCCTTTGGCTTATTGAAGCAAAGGTTCCGCCAATTGTACTATTGCAAGCTCCGGGGCATGGAAAAACTTTGCCACTTCGTTAGAGCCTGTTGCGTTCTGCATAACATAGTAGACGAAGACGATTTAAACTTTATTGCAGGTATTTCTGAAGAAACCTCCGATGACTTAACATCTTACGGTGAAGTTGCTAGGGGAAATCTTGTGAGGGATCCAATATGTCAAGAGATACAACTTCGTCACCCAAATCCATAGATTTAGTCAAGAAACAATGTTTATTTGTATGTATGTACTTCAAAATATTTTATTTTTT